TTGTAGAAGGGAAATAGGGGAGCTAAACAAGCCAATCTTATGGGGTATCAGTCATGAAGAGGAGAAATTGAGTGCAAGAGAATCACACCATAGTGCTTTTCACTCGTTCGAAGATCTGATGGACTTTGACGGCAGGGACACAACCTTCCCTCACAATGGTGATGGTTCCTGTGTAAAAGTGTAAAATAAAAAGTAAAACATAGGCTTGGGTTAGATAGTGCCAGTGAAACACACAGAAAAGAGAGAAACATAATGGGATTTCTCTTGCATTTTACCTTCATCAATTTTGAGGCAGTTGACCACAGTAGAAGCAACAACTTCATTTGAGTCCCCGTCACACAGAACCCCTTGGAGCTTGTGTCCCAGTCGACTGTGGCAAAAATAAGATAGGAGCAAGAATGTGAGTCAATGTCCGTCCATTGAGAATATTCAATCATGACACATTTTGTCTCGGGATTAAACTGCTGAAAAAGGACATTCAGAGGATAGACACTGACTTGATGACCATGGTGTGGTGGGTGCTGTCTGGCTCTCCGCTGGGATTGGCTGATGTAATAGCAAGGGGTCCGGTGATGTCACATAGGTGGCCGGTCACTGTGTGGTCAGGGACTCGGATCATGATGCTGTCCCAGTGCCAACACGGTCATAAGCTGGTCCAACTCCTACACAAGATACATTGAGGTGAGCTGACAATTGATGGAAGACTTGTTAAATGTGTCCAGTAAAGCAGCTGTTAAAACTGTTTACCTAGTTTGAAGAGCCAGTCTCCTTTGCTGACGATGCAGCTGATGCCTCCTGGATACACGTTCCTCATAAACTCCCAGAGCAGAGGGCTGAAGGGAGGCTTGGCTGCCACCAGCTGCTCCACATTAGAGATGCAAATGCAGATGGGCTTCTCTGCTGGTCTGTCCTTGAGGAAGACACAGACAAAAGGTTGATGAGTTTCACATTAAAGCGAAATGTGGATTTAATGATTTCAGATTACACTTTAAAATGATAGCAACTACATTACATTACATTGCATTTAGCTGACGCTTTTATCCAAAGCGACTTACAATAAGTGCGTTCGACCAACAAAATACAAACTTGAGGAAAACAGAATCATATAAGTACATCAGGCTTCATAGAGCAAAAACATTTCAAGTGCTACTCAACTGGCTTTAGATAAGCCAGCCCTTTATTAGTATAATAAGTGCTTCAATGCTGTTTCAACTGTTTTATTTGTATAAAATGTCATGTGGTATGCATAGTAACCAAGTCAGTTAGTTGGCATAAACATCATCTTAAATCAGCCTATACATTAAGGTCAATCAGTTTTCATATAATTATATTCATCCATGACAATCAATGTGCACATAGGTCCATCAAATTTTGATCGCTTCTCTAGTTTATTTATTTGTTTGCCTTTTCAGCAGCGATATCATATTTCTGAAAAGGCAAAGTACACACATTATCTAATCAAACGAGGAAGTTGTGACTTAAATGATCCACTTGGCAGTGTGTGGCATCTTTGTTTATCTGACCAGGAAGTACAACCAGTTTTATCCGGGAATTTACAGTAAACCGCGAGCACACAACAAAAACAAGAGACATAGCAACAACAACTTTCTATCAACAGCGTAAACTCCCGCAGACAGTACACACGTTCATCCTCTGAACGTGTGTAGGCCTACTGTCTATTAAAAAAAACTGCAGGAACACAGACAAAAAATATAACCCCCTTCACATCTCAACTATTGTAAATGTTACGGGTCCCCGATATGAACACAGAAGCAGTGATGATAACTGTATTAAGCAGGTGAAACAGGAGCTGTTGACAGGAAGTTGTTGCTGCTATGGAAACAACATGACGGTATCTGATATCTTCTACATATGAAGAGAAAGTAAAGAATACAGTTTATGTTTAAATGTTGCTCACCCCCCCGAAGAGGCACAAGCTCTTACGTTGAGTCTGAACTAGCATTCCTACTTTAATATTGTAGATGTTCTCAATAGCTCGGGGGTTCTTGCAGGAGGCAGCCAGGGCATACACAGTGTCTGTGGGAACACCGCACACTCCTCCTTCCTCCAGAAGGCCAGCGATCTTCATGAGACTGCTGGTGAGTCGAGAATTAGCAACAGGACAGGGCAGCTCTGGAACAGACTCCCACCTCACTTTCTCCTAAGGAAGACCAAAGAGTAGGGATAATTCCATGGAATACATTGGATAGAATATTACAGACTATTTAGAATTAGCAACAAATGCAACAATAGTAACTTAATTGGTTACCTTTATTAAGGGAGGGCCCATAGGCAGAAGTCTATGTGAGAAGATGCAGTTCACCAGTGACGCCAGAGCCCCATATATACAAATTATTGAAAAAAGTGCAAGCATGGCAACTGTAAAGAAGGTTGTCAACATGTTTTAATAACAATATGGATTTTATTTTACAGATTTGATTTGAATTCAGGCCTTTATCTATATTTAAAAAAGGGACATTCATCTCAAAATGAAGCTTTGTCTATACTTACTTTCGAATTCATATGGAAGTCGTTGCAGAGTGGAAAGCAGGAAACAGACCAGAACGACCTCCATGACTGATGTTAGAAACAGCAAAACCAGGTTCCTATAGGCAGCTGACAAGGACAACATAACATGAAAAAAAGCTAAAAAACAAACTAATGAAATCTCCAAACTCTCTTAAAATAGAATCCTTGACCTTACCAATGAGCATAAGGAAAGCGTTAATGACCAGGAGAGCAATGGCTCCTGCTGTGAAACCGTATGCTGCCTCTGCGGAGAGCTGAAGCAGGTTGCCTAGAAAGAAAAACGTGGGATCAGAATGTGTGTAATTCAGTCACAACAAGTTTTCTTTTAAACACATGTTTGTCATGACATACCTGAAAACCTAAACCAGGTCCAGGTTGCCCATACTGCTACGTAGATGGTTGGAATGACTGAACCAAAACGACCCCCTCCTGTGACCTGCAGCCGGCTGACATAGGCCTGGATGATGGCTCCAGAGATCAGGACCCAGGGGACAGTCAGGTGAAGGAAGGCAGGATTCAAACTGGAAGAACGTGCATGAAGAGCTGAGAGAGCTGCAACCCCATTAGAAATGTAGAACAGGGCGTCTGATCCCTGGTCAGTTTGGGGCAGCGCCTCCTGGTCCCCCTGATTGGCCCTGCAGCACATGAGAGCCTTCTTCAACATCTCAGAGGAGATGGGCTGGGGTCCCACAGGGATCAGAGACTTCTCTGCTATGGTGTTGATGAGACGCGAGAAGGTTAAATACAGGGGAGGCTGCGGTGAACAGGGAGCAAGCTACACCAAAGAAGATGTAGTATCCCTGGAGAGCAATCTGGGGGATTGTTGAGAGCGTAGAGCAGGACGAACAGCATGTTGTGGATCAGCTCCAGGACGTCTGTGTTGAGGCTTCCCACGCAGAGCATCACGCCTGCCATCACAAAGAACCAATTTCCCACCATTGCTTCCCTCCCTGAGGCCACTTTGCCGTCCTCCAAAACCAGAGCAGAAAGCACAAACTCATCCCAAGCCTTGATCAGCCAATATGTGGCATGAAGACCAAACTTAGTGGTGTGGTAGCAGTCTTGGCGGCAGATGGGCGTAATAGCTGGAGAACAGCTGGGCAACTGTGATGATTGAGACCCATGCCACTCCAACACCAAAAGACTTCATGTACCCAAAGCTGTAGAAAGCAAAGATGAAGGGGGCTACAGTGTCACAGAAAAAAACCCAAGGCCATCGGTTCGGCATATTTGTGTTTTTCTTCTTCTCTTGGCCAATTTTCTGGGCGCTACCTGAGTTGGTGGTCCCGAGCAGGAGGACATTAAAGAGAGGGGTACCAAAGCCTTTGAGGACTAGACGTTGAGTCAGACCTTTTCCAAGCAGTGCAGCTGAACCATAGATGGCAAAAAATCAGAATAAGCAACTCCAGAACCCCAGAGACCACGAGAGCCCAGGAGCTCGCTACCAGACCTACTGCTTCGAAGACTAAGGTGGCTGTGATGGCCCCGAAAACAAAAGGCATGATGTAGTTGACTGTGGCAGAGCAGAAGGCGAGGAGAAAGGACAGAAGGATGTAGGGGACCAGACCAGCAATGGCTGTCTCCTTTATGGACAGGCATTCATGGCAAACTGGGATCACCATGGTGACGGTCACAGACATGTTTGCTCGTCATATTAGTGGGACAGGGACAAATTGTTCATAATTTCAGCTGGCAAAGGTACTATTGTTGGGGTTTGAGCTGAGGCCCCAAAGTAGATTCTGGTGGCACCATAACTGCCCCAAAGTGCAGCGTAGCCAATAAAGGCAGTGCCGCTCAGATGATCGTATTTTCTAAAGGAAAGCATTCCTGCAACTAGTTGGCATACACCACCAATCAGGATGAGATGGACACCTACAAAGAAACATAGAATTGAAATTACTAAAACTAGTTTATCAGATAGGTGAGATACAAATGTATTCAAGAAAACATTTTGTGTCAAAGATTGTGAAGAAAAAAATTCAAATAGAAAAGTAAATTACAACAACATCAGTAAATGTACATATATTTCAAACAATTTCAACCTGCTAGGATGTTCTCCACCCCAGCTGGTGCAGTGCCAGTGTGTGCTGTGTGGAAGTTCTGCAGAAGAACGAGGAATGCACTGATCCCATTGGATAACATGCCCAACACTCCTGGTTCTCCATAGAACTGGCTGGAAATCCATCTGATGATGCCATCAGGTCTTTGTTTTCAAGCTGAGTCAAAGAAACTAATCACACAGACAACACATCCATAAGTGAATGAACAATTTCCTTTGACTTAATATGTTGTGCAATACCAAACGCAGGACTTGCCTGAAACATAAACTGATACTTTTGTTTTAATCTCGATTTACTGTAACAATTGATTTGCTAGGGTAGAGTAGTAAAAAACTCAAAAAGACTCAAATAAAATTATCATGTACCATAAATATTTAGTTGAACACAAATAACAAACGGTTATGTCTTAAAATGTTACGTAAGTCAAGTACTTACTCACTTTTCATCTCCCTAAACATTTACAGAAACATCAGAGTCTTTGCCCCCCCCGCCCGCCCTGTCATATGCACACAAGGAATAATTATTTTTCTGAATTCATTATTTTTAAATCCACTTTAATACTCCAATGGCTCAAATAAGCATGTCAACAATTTAACATTGTATCCATAAATTACACTTTAGATTAGATTTACGGAAATCTACCAAAACACAGATTCTGGTTTCGTTATGTCTTGTATTTTTTCAGTTTCAATTTGAGTAGTCTATGGTCAAATATTTTCAAAAACAATTTCACTTCGTATTATATATTTCATCTAATGGCAGCTTTTCACCCTGTGTCAATCTTGTTATCACCATCACTTTATATTTGGCATTGTATTACATGTAATAAACTGTTTCTACTAGCTAGTAATACAGCAATTAAAAATAAAGTGTTACCTGGTGGAGATACGCAGACAGAGGAGCTGCTGAGTTGTTCTGAAGCAGGGATTCAATAAGATGTCCTCCAGTTTGAAGGAGGAGTTCAGGAAAATTCCCCAACTTGAAGTTTGCAACCTGAGAGGTGACATCACTGCTCTTCGTCTTAGACAATGAAGTACCACTCCTTCCTCCTCTTCTACCCAGGAAGACCATCCTGGTTATGACGATATTGAGGATGATGATGGAAACCACCGTGGAAATTCCATTAAACCATAAGGTGTTATAGATTTGCCCTTCCCTGTTTTTTCCAGGTCAGCATTAGAAGCCATTGTGAGGCTGGGACTATATAAGGAAGGTACCCTCTGAACCTGAGAAGCATCAGCATCATCTGAACAACCTGTTGACTGCAAAGAGCAATAAGAGAGAAACAGCTGACTGAAGCCATGATCTCCACATTACAGGTAAAGATTTAAAGATACAAGTATATTTCTTATTAATAGAACATCTAGATACTCATACATATTGCAAAGGCTTGAGTAACTCAATTAGATTGTTAGGTGTCCTTAAAATATTCATTTAATCCAGTCAGCTCTAAACTAATAAAGCTTGCACTAGGTGTTTTTGTTCTTGTTAAGGGAGAATTAACCTGAGCAGAATACACACACTGAACGACACCCAGCACAATAGCTTTTTCAAAGAGGCACACAGGCTGAGTTATTTTCATTATAAGGATGCCTATATCCACAAATAGCTGATTTAATTAAACCAGAGTCTGGCAGAAAATCATTGTGCGTGTGCTCACTGACGGTAATGAATCTGAGATAGTAAAACAATTATTGTCACACTTAGTGGTTTACAGGTGTCAGTAAGGATTGTATGTTCCCTTGTTCCTGCAGAAAAACCATTCGACCAGTGTGGGCTGTCAGGGGGGGCTGCATAAGTCTGCAGTAAGAAGGTAAACTCAACTACATCTCTTTGTCTGAACACAAAAATACCTCTTTACTTACTCCTGACCTATAATATCCTTTCTCTTTCTCCCTGCAGTCCTTGAAGCGCCCGGCACCCTGAAGACACAGTCACAGCCAGCTATGGAGATTCCATCAGTGAAGTCAAGCCGCAGCACTTGTCATCACTGGTGCTTCACCGCAGCAAAAGAATGGTGCTTGGACAGCATCGGAGTTGGTCTCATTGGCAGCACTACAGACGTGTTTGAATTGGCCCTGCAGCACTGCCAGGTGAGGCAAAGTCAATAGAAATAACCTGAAGGTATTATCTGATATGAAACAATAAGACAGATGAAAGCAATTATTGACCTTTGGCAAACAGTAGTCGCAAGTCAGTGCAAGTGCTGCATGGACAAATCAGATGGGTTTTTAAAAAAATAACATGTTGTGATTAGGCTGAAGTTCGTCATATATCGTGAGAGGGGTTTATTTGCATGGTGACCCTTTTCTCCAAATATCTGTGTTTGACTTGAGCACACAACTGTTGTATCAAAAATGTCCTTGTGACAACTCCCTGTGTTTGCCTGTCTCCGTGTTCCCCGCTCCAGCACATGTATGCTCCTGATGACATCAGCTCTGTTTACGGACGCAGAGGCAGCAGGCTCTCCCCCACACTGGCTGCTTTCGTCAATGGAGTGGCTGTGAGTACGAACAGGAGGAACAGATGGGTCACAATTGTCCCCAGTGCACATCAGATGCACTAAAACCATCTGTGCATCCAATCGAAAGATGGGTTGATGAAAATACTGACTTGACCCCGCATTACCCTTCTGTCAAAATGTCCAGCATTTTGTCAGCAAACATTGCTTGGCTTTCATACTTTAAGCAGCATCAGGATGTCAGTTCATTTCTGCAGCAGTCACTTTTAGTTGTATATTTTCATTAAAAACAGTTAAACAGTCCATTTTCATTTGAATTCAATCTGTTTGTTCTTTCTGTGATGCAGACTCACTCCATGGACTTTGATGATACATGGCACCCTGCCACTCACCCCTCAGGAGCGGTCCTCCCTGCTGTGTTAGCGCTCAGTGACATGATGCCTAACAAAACCCAGTGGCCCTGACTTCCTGCTGGCATTCAACGTCGGCATTGAGATCCAGGGCAGATTGATGAGGTTCTCTCATGAGGCCCACAACATCCCTAAGAGGTGAGCGCCTCAGGGAGTGGGTCAAAATAGTCAAAGATAATGTTATTCTTAGGGTTATAAACACATTTATGAAGGTTTGTACTTACTGGGTCTTACAGTGATGATTTAAACGATCTAAAGCCAGCTTATTATTGAGTATTTTGAATGTTTACTTTACACGGAGAACAAATATCCACATGAGTCTAAAGAGCCCCATATTTGATTCTGCAGATCCCTGCAGTGTGGTTTACAAGGAGGTTAGTGCAGTGTAATGGGCAGCCTCTTAGTGGTGTCAATGAGCTGTGAAAGGCTGGTTGTCATGTTCATATCAAGGACAGCAGAGCCTCTGTGGGTAGTGTTACCACAATTAGCCATGTGTTTGAGAGTATCACACAGGAGGACTCCTTTTGGCAAATGTGTACACCAAGTCAAATCACACAACACACTATTTACTTGTTTGTCAAATACTGAAATGGCTTTGAACCATTTTCCTGAAATAAGCTCTCTCTGAATGTGGAAAGTCTTTGGAAAGTGTAGCAGATTCCAACAAACAGGCACCTTTACACAAACATAATGATGAGAAACACACATTTGAAATGTTCTGTCCCAAGTAAAAATGGTCTTAACACATTTTAACACAGTTTTCTTTCTCCCTATATCACCAGGTTTCACCCTCCAAGCGTTGTGGGGACCATGGGGAGTGCAGCCGCCTGTGCTCGCCTCTTGTCTTTAGATCACTCCCAGTGCAGTCATGCCTTGGCTATAGCTGCTTCTCTCTCTGGAGCTCCAATGGCTAATGCTGCCACTCAGTCCAAACCCCTTCACATCGGTAATGCCTCACGTTTGGGGCTGGAGGCTGCTTTGCTGGCCTCCCGGGGCCTCGAGGCAAGTCCTCTGGTCCTCGATGCTGTTGCTGGTGTGGCCGGCTTCGATGCCTTTTATGAAGACTATGTGCCCGAGCCTTTAGAATCCCCCAATGACGGCCATGTGTTCCTGCTAGAGGAGCAGGACATGGGCTTCAAGCGCTTCCCGGCCCATCTGGGGATGCACTGGGTAGCAGATGCTGCCGCCTCGGTCCATAAGCTTCTCATGGGGTTGGGCCCTGGCACTGTCTCCCCATCTCAAGTCCAAGACATCCTGCTCAGAGTCCCCAAATCAAAGTACATCAACAGGCCATTCCCCGAATCTGAGCATGAGGCACGCCACTCCTTCCAATTCAACGCTTGCAGCGCTCTCCTGGATGGCAAAGTGACCGTGCAGTCCTTCACTCCGGCTGCTCTGAGGCGCCCAGACCTCCTCGCTCTGCTGAGTCGTGTTCGCGTGGAGCATCCCCATGACAACCCTGCTAATTTCAACAGCATGTATGGGGAGGTCCAGGTTACACTTGTTGAGGGACACATTTTGAAGGGACGCTGTGACACTTTCTACGGTCACTGGCGTAACCCGTTGACCAATGAGAGCCTGAGAAGAAGTTCAGAAACAACGCGGGGGTGGTGCTTCGCTCAGAGCAGGTGGAGGGGCTGATTGATGTGGTGGGGGGGCTGGACACACTTGGGGACTGCAGCGACCTTCTCTCACAGCTGCAATGAGACAAAGCAATGACATTGAAATAGAAATGATTGTGTGCAAAAATATATAAAATACATTTAGCAAAGATCTTTTTTGTAAAAATGTATTTGACACATTTGCCCAAATCCAGGCTGTAAAATGTAACTTGTTTTCCTTATGTAATTGGTGATGGTGAAAAGGCCACTATGTTGTACACCCGTAATGACAAATACTGACATATCTCTTGAGCCATGTCAAAACATATTTATGAAATCTACAATTATGTATGCTGAATTATGTGATTGCATAGGACACTTTTAACTTGTAAAATATGATCTAGTAACCTAACAAAGACGAAATTAGGGAAAATGTATGAATTTATATATTACGTTTTTATTAGTATTCATACTTTCAGATATTAATGTTGTCAAACTACTGCACTTTATGTTATTTGTGCCCAATAATGTAAGATGTTTATTTCTCCGCATTGCAATGTTTAATGCTTTAAACATGTAAATATAACACTATTTTCTCTTCCACATTTCAGAATTTCAAACATGTAGCATTTCTGTTTGTGTAATGAGCTTCAATAAACTTACCAAAGAAAACACAGTCTAAGAAATTAAATATTTGACAGAAGAAAATTATTTGAGAAAACTATAATGTGTTTTGTTTGGCCAACGAAGATACTAATCCGTCTTTTGTGAGTCCTTAACACACAATATAAATGAAAGCAAAAGAGTAGGTTATAAAATAAAATTCAACAAGCTGTATTTCCCAAGAAGACACAAAGAAAAGAAATGACTCATGATATCAGAAAGTACACTACAGTCATTCAGTTGATAACTCGCAGTTAATCATCTGGAATTGAATCCATATGCAGTCTTTTTCTCAACAAGCGGGACAACATTGACACTGAGTCAATAAAGAACTGCTATGCATACAAAAGTCCAATGAAAGTACTTTTCTTTTCCAAGTGTAGTTCAAACAAAAACAGAAGGATGTTTTGTAAAAGTGGAGCAATGCTGGGAAGAGAGGGCTGGTTTCCTCATTCCAGTCTGGATCCTTCAGTTAAGTTGTGTGGCAGTAAGTCTGCAGGAGATGGAGACAAGTGGGGTTTGTTTTATGCACCAGTGTGCAATGGGACATCTGAATGGAGAGAGTGTTTTTGCAAAGTAAGAGTAAGTA